AGACATACTTGCTACACAATTGGTGAACCTTGAAAACATATGCTAAGTAAAAGAACCCAATCACAAAATACCACATTTTATATGAGCACAGTCCTATGAAATGTCCAAGATAGGAAAATCTGTAGAGACAGAAAGATTAGTGTTTGCTTAGACCTGGAGGGATAGAAGCATGGGGGAGGGGTCATAGCTAAGGGTATGGTGTTTGGTTTTGACTTGGAAATGCTCTAAAATTGACTATGGTGATAGTTGCAAATAACTGAATATAGTAAAAACCATTGAGCTGTACATTTTAAGTGGGTGAATTGTATGGTATGTGAATTATAGCTCAATAAAGCTGTTTTTAAAAAAAGAAGTAACATCTATTCTGAGATGGATGCGTAGGGGTTATCCACGCTAAGTGTGTGAAGGGTGATTGAGAGAATGTTTCAGTCAGGGAGAACTGTGGGAACCAAGATCAGGACTCAAAAGGGCATGAAGCTTTGAAGAAATAATGGGAATTCTTTAAGCACAATGTTGTTGTTGTTACTATTTATTAAATATCAACTGTTGCAGAGTAGAGATTAGAAACAAGGGCTTTGACCTTAGGCAGGCATTTCATTTAATAGCTGGGTGATCTTGGCCAAGACACTTAATTTCTCTTAGCTTCACTTTCCTTTTTTACTAAATAGTAGGCTAATGACTGGTGCAGTCACTCTGGAAAACAGTACGGAGATTCCTCAAAAAGTTAAAAATAGAACTATCTTATGATCCAGCAATTACAGTACTAGGTATTTATTCAAAGGATACAAAAATACTAATTCAAAGGACCCCAATGTTTATAGCAGCCCTATCAACAATAACCTAATTATGGAAAGAGCCCAAATGTCCATCAACTGATAAATGAATAAAGAAGATGTGGTATATGTATACAATGGAATATTACCCAGCCATCAAAAAGAATGAAATCTTGCCATTTGCAATGACATGGATGGAGCTAGAGTGTATTATGCTAAGCAAAATAAGTCAGAGAAAGACAAATATCGTATGATTTCACTCATATGTGGAATTTAAGAAACAAAACAGATGTACATAGGGAAAGGGAAGGAAAAATAAAATAAGATCAAAACAGAGAGGGAGGCAAACCATGAGACTCTTAAATATAGGGGCGCTGGGTGGCTCAGCTGGTTAAGTGTCCGACTCTTGATTTCAGCTCAGGTCATGATCTCAGGGTCCTGGGATCGAGCCCCAAGTTGGGGTCTGCGCTCAGCAGAGTCTGCTAGAGAATCTCTCTCTCTCTCTCCCTCTCCCTCTGTGCCTCCCCCTGCTCTCTCTCTCTCTAAAATAAATAAATTAAAAAAAATTTTTTTAAAAGAGACTCTTAAATACAGAAAGCAAACAGGGTTGCTGGAGGGGAGGTGGGTGGGGGGATGGGCTAAATGGGTGATGGTCCTTAAAAAGGGCACTTGTGATGAGCACTGGTGGTTATAGGTAAGTGATGAATCACTAAATTCTACTCCTGAAATACTACACTCTATGTTAACTAACTTGAATTTAAATAAAATCTTAGAAAAAAAATAGTAGGCTAATGATACAACATCTGGAAAAGGACTCAGAGTTCATGAAAGGGAAAAAGGACTCTGTAAGTCTAAGAAAATATTTTGACAGTTACAAAGCAAAGATAATAGAATTATCCATTAGGATAAATTTTTAAAAATATTTCTCAAACAACAAGATAGCAGAAGGTATGGTGAGATATCAAAATGCCACTTAAAAAGACATGATCATTCCCTTTAGTGAGCTAAAGGGCTTCATCTTGATATTTGTGGGGATGGATATGTGTGTGTGTGTATATTTGTGTGTGTGTGTGTGTGTGTATTTTTGTACTATACCTCCTGTTCTTCATTTTTCTTTTAATCATGGCTGGTGAATGTGTAGGTATATACGGACCTACCTTATTCCTTTAAAGATTCTTTACCCACACTATACTGAAAATATTGGCTGGGGGGTACAGGCAACATATTTGAATAGACATTTCTCAAAGTAAAATGTAAAAATGGCCAATAAGTACGCAAAAAGATGCTCCATACCCAACTAAATTATCCATCCAATGGTTCAGCTATTTTTGCTAAGGCTCTTGCAAAACGCTGGTGTCAGAGTATCAAATAAGTGCTTTTGGACCCTGTTATGAGAGGCCCCACCCTCCATCAACCCTTTCCCTATCTTGAACTTTCCTTGTAGAGGGAACAAATCAGCTTTTCTCTTGGCTTTTGCCTTTTCCTTTTATAGAGGTGTGGTGATTATGTGGGTATGGGATCTGAGGCTGGTTTTCAAACACACACTCTTCTGTCAGTTTGTCAGTGTAAAATTTTGCATGAGATTACTCCAGTCCTTAGCATCCTGATAATCGTCTTGCTCCTCTCCTTTTATTTTGTGCATCATGGTAGCTATGTCTTATTGTAACTTTAAAGCTCCTCTTAGACTATTTACTTTTAGTTTCTTAGCTGTTCTTTTCAGTTAATTAAGATTCATTCAAAATCCTATATATTAAGTAAAAATTAGTTACAAATGCCCTGTTTACACTCTACCATATAATGCATTATCTGCTTTATTTAACTTGGAATTATAAATCCAAATTTGTGCTGTTAGGAAAGGCTTACCATTCACATTAAGATTTACTGCACAGAGAAAACTGTTACTGGGAGTCAGTCCACCTTGGATCCTGAGCATCCCTGCACATTTTTATTGCGTATACAAAGCATGTAAGACCCTGGCCACTTCTTTATGCAGGCAGGCCATGTCTCAGAGTTGTGTTTGCAACAAGCAACTGGGACGAATGAGGTAACATCTTTCCCTGGATACAGAGCAAGCTTGCTTCTGTTCACCATGAAAGCAATGAATTCTCCACACAGGGAGTTTCTTTCCTGTTACACAAGGCACTGCGTGTGCAGACATCCATAAAAGGGCCTGTGTCACCCTATAGGACTTGAGGATCACTTGAAAACTAATACAAACCCATATGAGGCTCTGGCTATGGCTCCTGCCATGAGTAATAATGTCCTTTGGCTCTGTCCCGGGATTCTAGTGTCTTCTGCCAGTATCCATTAAACAGTAGCAGGTTAACTTGTTAAGTTTTAAGTAGGGTAAAATCTCAGATCGCATAATTCTTGACAGGTGTTTCCAGATATTATCCCTAAATCAGTTATGTTAGTGCAGTGTTTCCCACTAGGATTTTTGCTTTGTCTGTGTACCGCCTGTGCTCTTAGTATCGTGTTCTACTTCATGTCTGTCTTCAAATTGACTTGCTGACTTAATTTGAATACCTTTTTGCAAAGGACACTTTATACCACACTAAATCTATACTATCATCATTTGCCTGAGACAGAGTATTCATTAATACACATCCAAATAAACATATGAATACCACAATTTAATATATTTGGGTACTATCTAAAGTCATCCCCACCCACCACCAGGCCCTCTCCTTTAACCCCAAGCTGGTTGCATCTACAGGAGTCATGGCGGGGACAGACTATCACAACCAATGCTTTTAGTTAGTCCATTTTGAGGTCTTCTTCCCTATAAAAAGTTCTCATCAAGCCCCCTTGTGAAGGAAAAAAGGGAGAAACTAAGTGTAGTGCTCTGACCTGCTACAGGGACAGTCATCATCCTCCAGGTAAGTATATCCAGGACAGCCTGGCCATCAGCTGAGGGGAGTCTAGTGCCTGCTTCAATCGGAAGCAGAGAAACCAAAGTCAGACCCACCCTGGAGAGGAGTGTGGCTTGGATGAGCCCTTCTATATCCTACCTGAGCACTGCCCCTCTCGGAGCACCAGGGGATTGGATTCATCCTGTCTTATAAAACTGGCAGTGAGCCCCTGCAAGCTTACCTCACTCCAGTCGGAATCCAGCCCAACCAGCATCCATCAGGCTGTTGCAAACTTGAAGAATAGTCTGGAGTCATGAATTGCCCCAAAAAGAGTATCACAGAGGAAAAATAAAATAACACACAACTGGAAAAACTGTGAGCCATAGATATATGTAGATACATATACAGATATATAGATTTGGATGTAGATATACACATACAGTCTTACATAGCATTTTCACATTTCCAAGTAAGGATGGCAGTATCCCCAAATCCCACTTGAACCTCCCTTTAAAATTTACACAAGCCTAGAGGTATCTGTTCAACTGGTGAGGAGGGCCTGCCACCAGTCTTCTGGGAGAGATCACTCACCCTAAGGAAACAGAAGATAAAACTGTAATCTTTAGACTCAAAGAGAAGCAATTCTGAGTAAAGCATAACATCTGTTACTCAGACTTGCCTTCTGGTCCAATCCCCAAATGGACCCATTGTTGTCAGAGTCTTATGGGGGAAGTTCGGGCCTGTGGTTAAAATTCCCCAAACTGTCAATATACCATGGCCCAAGTTGCCCTGCATAACTATCTGTCTAAACTGAAGAAATGGGCATTCTCCCCACTTCTGCAGGTCAGTCTGAAGATTCAGCCAATTGGGGGTTCTGAAGAAATATGCTGGGCTTCACTGTTTGAGAATTCCAGAACATCAGCAACAGATAGGTAGGGGCCTGGATGAAGGGGCAGAACTACCCAATATACATGATAATATCAAGGGGAGAAGAAAGGGAGGTCGGGCAGGAAAGGAACATAAAGGGGGGCACCCACCTAACAGTTGCCTGGATTTATTCTTAAGCACAGGTGAGAACTAGCTTCTCCATCATCCCAAATAGCTGATACAAAGCCCTTGGGAGTTGGGATCCTACATGGGCAGATGGGGGGAAAAAACCTGTTAAAATAGAGCTCACAGTCATTACCTTATTTGGTCCTCACATGATCCCTCAGAGATTATTATCTCTATTTTACAGATGAGAAAAGATATAAAAAATTTATTCTTCTAGCTAAGTGGTCTTATGGTAACTTGGAGTTCACATTTGCTTCTAAAATTCTGTCAACAGTGCCTTTAGAAATAAATTGATTAAGTGCTGTAGATTACTTCTTTTTTGTTATAAAACTTTTATTACTTTAACAATAATGTGTATACATTCTAGGAATAAGAAAAAATACAAATAAGCAGAATAAAAAAATTACTCATAATCCTACCACTGACTATACTTTTTGTCTTTCATCCTTCACACGTTTCTTTGTGCATATATGTAATATACAAATGTATTCTTCCTTTCAAAAAATATGATATTCACATATTACTTAGTAACCTTTTTTTCATTTTATATCCTGTCAGGAACCTCTTTTTGTACAAATGAGTAAAGCTCTCCTATTAAAAGACAGAGACTTGTATATTGGTTCAAAATATGATAAACAATGAGATGAAGATTAACAACAGATGCATCTAAAATCACTAATAGCAACGAGTTAAAAGTAGAAAGATGCACAAAGGTATATCAGGAAAATGTAAATCAAAAGAAAGCTCTATGACAATGTTATTATCAGAAAAAAATTAAAATCAAGGCAAACTACATTAAATAGGGATAAGGATGGTTTCGGTTAACCTTCCAACGCATGACTATAAGTTTGTTTCTTACTCTCCTTATCTCGTCTATTTCATTCACTTCTCTAAACATATCCTCCTTGCTTAAATGCCTGTTGTGTATGTCTTCTTTAAATTCCTGGAGAGACTGAATCAGCCTTTCCCTAAAAGTTCCTTCTGTTTTTTCCTCCTCCTCTGGCTCTTCTTCCTCCTCCTCTGGCTTTTCCTCAGGCTTTGGCTCTTCCTCAAGTGTTGGTTCACTCTCATTTTCTGGTTTTCCTTCAATTTTTTGACAGGGTTTCATCTTGTGAGTCTCTCTTCCTTCCTTCTTTCCTTTTCTCTTTCTTTCTTTTTTCCTGCTTTATTCCTCCTTGAATACAATTACTCCTGGGAAGCAAGGTGACCCGTAAGTCAAAGGCTTGGTGAATGGCCCAGTGCTCTGGACAGAGGTCTCAGCATTTACTCTCTTTGATTCAGAGCTATCATTAAATACCTTCCACTTGGGAGACTTAATCAGCAATCAGGACTTCCCTGAGCCTGCGGCTCTAACCTCCACTTTCCACTTCCTTACCTCTCTCTCGTTCCTCCCTCCAGCCTTTTTCAAGGCCTTCCCCAACCATTTCTCCACACAAGGCAAAACATAAGGCCCTCTAGAACAGAGTAGGTAGGGAGAACAGGCCGGGGGTAGGAACAGTGGGGCCCACAACCTCCGTCCCGCCCTCGCCCCCCTCCACCCCATGGGTCTTTAAAATATTCCCCTCACCTACTTGTACTAATCCGATCGCTTTCTTCCTCCCCTTTTCTAGCCTTGTGTGGTGCTAGGAACGACAGACTTGCTGACCTGCTGAAAAACGGAAAACGGGAGGGGAAGAGGGAGGGTTGGAGAAGGGGGGAGGGTGGGGGAGGGGCGAGCGCTTGGTGGGCCCACCCGCACCAAGTACCTTTTTCCTCATTAAGGTATTTGGTTATGAAACTTTCCCACCTTCTGTTTCTCCCACTTCTCCCCCCGCCCCCACAGTGCAAGTTAGCTCGAATTTCCCATCAGACAGGGGGTAGGAAAAGCAGATTATTTCCAAACTATCTTTACTGAGGCGGGGGTTGGGGGGTAAGGGTAGGTCTTGGGAAAGCGGTCTGAAGTGGCAGAGGATGATTATTTTTAAACTATCACAGGTCTCCTTATCCTTCTCTCGGGACCCCTAGTCCCTTTCCCAAGGGTCATCACTTCCTGCAGACTCAGAGGAGGGAGGTGGAGGGATGGTTTTGACCAGGGCTCCCTCTCAAGTCTCTGCCCTAGGCCACTCCCACCCTAGAAAGCCCCAAGCAGCACCTATTTTGACACCAACCTGCAAAATTCCGACAAGTTGACTCCTTCTCTTTCCCCTCGCGTCAGGCTCCGCCGTCTGCACTGCTAAAGGAAACCTGGTACCCAGACGGGAACAAGGACCAGACTAGCAGGACTTCTGCACACGTCGACTCCTGGTCACGTGAGATCTACGTCACCAGTGAGCTCGGGTCCCCAATCTCCACTCCCACCAAAAGCGCGGCAGAAGTGGGCCCGCCTATGCCCCCTCCCCCCGTATACATCTGGCTTGTCATTCTCTGTTATTGTTGCCTATGCCGGAGGGCAAAATGTTATTTGCCTTTCCGTGACTACTAGGGAGGGGCTGCATCTTTTTTCTGGAGCTACTAAACTTTTCTACTTCTTTTAAGAATTGTCACTTCGGTGCCTTCAGTTCCCAGGATTAAGAACTCCTACATCCATCGCCCCTCCCCCAGACTCCATTTCATCTGCAGTCTTGGACCCTGGCTGTTGTGGAACAGGGTTGGTTTGGCAGCGAGGTGTAAGAAAAAAAAAAAAGTAATGTTTGATTCCAGAGCTTTGATGGCGTGGTATTTGCTAGGCAGCTATGCTGCCTGCAGAATCATCAATTGTCAGCTACACATTATGATCCCAAGTGTCCTCATCCGAAAGGGAATAATATTGTACACATCACAGAACTGACTTTTGGGAATTCTAAATGATACCTGGCTCATATCATCTTCAACAGATACTGATTACCTTTTAGCCTCACTTCAGTCTTTTAGTATAAGTCACAAATTTGCCAATAAAAATTACATAGCTCTCAGAGGCAACATTTAAAAAATAGCAGGAGACATACATGTATTTTTGTTTTGTGTAAGTTTGGGTGCCCCTTCATGAGGCAGAATAAAGAGCTCGATAGATTATGTAGAAAGAAAAAAAAACCTTTACCCCATGTTGTTTTTATTTTACTTGCCCTTCTGTCACATTTTCCTATCTTCTGGGAAGCATGTATATTTGAGTACCAGGAAACCCAAGATACAATGGTTTGGGTCTGCCAAACAAAACACTGGTGTGACAGGAGATGTTAGTCCCAGGGCCAGAACTAGATTGTGTGACCCTGAGTAAGTTACTTTCCCTGTACTAGCCTTACCTCCCAAACAGGAGAGCCTGGGCAAGCTCTCAGAACTTTAGAAAGAAGCTTGTGATTAGTAAAACACTTCAATATGTTGTCCGTAGGAAAACAGAAACATCCTGAGTGGCAGCTGCTTTCCTTCGGCTTGATGAAAATAGTTCCAGAAATCCTGAGAATGTCCTGAAAAGGGAAAGATGCTTTGCTGCCATTATCTCATTTTATACTCTCAAGCAACCCAACTGCAAGGAAGATATTTTCATTTCTATTTTATGTAAGTCATTTCCATTATATATACATATGTATGCATGTCCTAAACTAAACAAAGAATTTAAACAATATGCCCAAAGACATTATTTCCTTATATCTGAGCAGAAAAGACCTCAGCCCAAGGCCCCACTTTTAGAGGGTCAGCATCTGGCCCTCTTCTGGATGCATCCTCCCCGGGTAGTGAAGAGTCAGCAGGGCAAGATGTGTCTACTTGGAGCCTTCATTTATTTCCTTCTAGACCACATTTGAGACACCTAAGACCCTCGAATATCCTGCCCAAAGGACCTCGAGCCCAAATCCAAGACCCGCTTGTGCCTCTTCTCTAAGTCTGTCCTGAGAGTGGGCCACATTCCCTGCGGGTTCTCACTAAAGGTAGAATCGAAGAGATAGCTGAAAAGGCAGAATCTCTTTCACATGAGGCTATTTGGAGAAATCTAAAGGAAAGAGTGGACGTCCAGGCCAACAGGGACTCAGAAAAGTCAATGACCAGTTAGCCCAAAACAGTCAGAGAAAGCTCCAAGCAGGGGAAAAAAACAAAAACAAAAACAAAAAAAACCCCAAAACAAACCTTGACCTGAGCCTCAGAATGTGAGCAGGACCTAGATGGAGGGTGGGCAGGAAAGAAGAGCAGTCAGACTGAACCTAGGCCCTGTGGCCTTACCATCACCCTGGCCTGTCTCATGCTGCCTCGCTGGTAGAAGTACACTTGCACCTCCTTAGGGGCGTTTAAGTCTATTGCCGGTGGCTTTCATCTGAAAGCAGGTTCAATGTAAGGACTTTGTAACATGTTCTGCACTTAATCCCAAGGATTTTCTCACTTATTTTCAGGTCATGGAATCTGAATTGGTCAACCTTTCTGGACAAGACGTACTTAAGCAATTGCTAAGTATTTGAAATATGCATTCCCTTGAGCCTGTAAATCCATTCTTAGGTACTCATCCTAGGAAAATATTTAATGGTGGTCACAATGATTTACCACACCAAAGTTCATAGATCTGAATTCCTAGCATCAGTCCTCTGACTTGGACCTTATACAAAGAGAAGCCCCAAGGGAAAAGCAGCAATGAAGGAACAGAAAGAGAAAATTGTTCTAGGCAATAGCAGATATGCACCCAAGCATGTGCTTGTGCACATTCACATACTTGTGTGCACATTTTCATGAGCCAAGGATTCTCCCAGATAATATTGATAGGGAATAAAGAAGACAAACTTCATGATTCTCTTAAAACAATTCAAACTACACCAATGGTATGTTGGAAATGGAAAGTAACCATTACATTATACATACATATAAATTAAAAAAGGCAAATTGTAAGTTAATATATGTATAACTACATTTCTGTCACAATATACATATATTTATTTGGGGGCATTCAAAATATGAGCATATAATTAAGTTGCACCATAACATACATAAAGTCCACAAAATTAACCTATAAAATTTCAGGTTGTGTTATTGAGAAATGAATGAATGACTGATGTGAGCCTGTTTGGTTAGCGAGGTGCACAACCCAAATCCATCAGGGATTCCGCTGAGTTCTTTTTTTTTAAATATTTTATTTAATTATTTGAGAGAGAGAGAATGAGAGATAGCATGAGAGGGAAGAGGGTCAGAGGGAGAAGCAGACTCCCCGCCGAGCAGGGAGCCCGATGCGGGACTCGATCCCGGGACTCCAGGATCATGACCTGAGCCGAAGGCAGTCGCTTAACCAACTGAGCCACCCAGGCTCCCTATTCCGCTGAGTTCTGAGGCCACCTTGTAACAGTTGTTTACTCAGCACTGGTGCTTAAATGTCATCCTTCCATTTCCGCCCCTCCCCATACCCCATCACCCACCATATTTTTTTTAATTTAATTTTAGTATGTTATGTTAATCACCATACATTACATCATTAGTTTTTGATGTAGTGTTCCATGATTCATTGTTTGCATATAACACCCAGTGCTCCATTCATTACGTGCCCTCTTTAATACCCATCACCAGGCTAACCCATCTCCCCACCCCCCTGCCCTCTAGAACCCTCAGTTTGTTTCTCAGAGTCCATAGTCTCTCATGGTTCGTCTCTTCCTCCGATTTCCCCCCTTCATTTTTCCCTTCCTACTATCTTCTTTCATTTTTTAACATATAATGTATTATTTGTTTCAGGTCTGTGAGTCATCAGTCTTACACAATTCACCCACCATATTTTATCCAACACCATCTTATTGTGGGGTCTTACTGTGTTTCTCTATCATAGTAAAAATGTGAATGAATATACTCTGAACTATTCCCCTAGGATATATTTGAGAATGAGTATTTAGTATAAAGGCAACTTTTACTTTCTAAGTGTTGCGTTTATATATTTAAATTTTATCTTTAATAGTCATGTATTAATTAATAATATTCAGAAAAATGAGACAAACCTTTGAAAGAATGCATGCAGAAGAGATAAAATATCTTACAAATATAAGTCAACCATATGTTTATTGAAATGGAAGTGTTTTTATAATATATTGGTATGTGAAAGAGGTCAGTTACAAAATGTAACTTGCAGAGGATCTAATTTTAAAAAGTAAAATGTGTGTAGATATTTATATATATGCATGCATAGAAAATATTATAGAACAATATACACCAAAATATTAAAAGTGGGTATGATTGTATGGTTGGTGGGCTTATGCGTGATTTGTATTCTCTTCTTATATACTTCTTTGTAGATTCTTTTACATTTTCTCAGTGGGGATGTGTAACTTCTATAATAAAGAGTAGTCTGCAGATACTGCAGTCTTATTTTATAGCACATTATTTCACATATGTACTTCTGTAGTGGAGTAGGATCTGATTTAAGAGCTCCACTACCCATTTAAGGTGTGGGGTCCTTGCAATGGTTGAATGCTTTGCATTTGGTTCCCTTGCCCTCTTTGTAACTAGTGTGCCTTAAAATGAGACTCTTCTTATTGCTCTATGCCTTCTCCGATCTTAAGTTTGAGATAGTCGGGCTGAAGTATTAGTCATACATAGGAAAGGAGGAATCTCTTCCCTAAATTTTACCTGGTGAGAAACCTTTCTTTTTAGGATAATGTTTTGCCAGGGGAAGTAATATTGTTAGCA